AGTTTGTTTGCTCATTTGTAAAATGCGGATAGTACCGGCTACTTCACTGAGTTGTTTTGTAGGATAAATGAAGTAATATTTGTATAGTATTTGATACATAGTAGACATTGAATGAATATTCAGTCCTTTCCCTTCCAAACATGGAAGATGAGCCCTCTTGAATACTTACTGTTGCCTCTTTGTGTTTTGCTTTCTAGGCTAAACTCTCCTGATTCTTTTATCTTTTCAGTGCTCAGTTTTATTTAATCAGCCTTCTGGGACTTCTCTAAAAATGCTTTAATATCCTTTTAAAACCGTGAGGTAAACTGGACAAAGGGATTCTAATGAAGATATGATTAGTGCAAAATATAACGGAAAGATCCATGTTATAGAAAGAAAGGTCTTGAGTAAGCGTCTGCCTTCATCTCAGGTCATGATCCCAGGGTCCTGGGATGGAGTCCTGCATTGGGCTCCCTGCTCAGTGGGGAGCCTGCTTCTCCCTCTGCCTGCCTCTCCCTCTGCTTATTCGTGTTCTCTCTCTGTGTCTCTGACAAATGAATAAAAAAATCTTGAAAGAAAGAAAAGAGAAGCGAAGCAGGCCTGCCTTTAATTTACTGGGTGCCATTACATTGCATAAAGACAAACCTTTCTCTTGAGTTCAATTTTTGTAGCTCTCCTTCCTGTAGGAGTACAACAGATTAACAGGCTTTGAGTCTTACCTTCTTGCACTGGCCAAGTAAAGTTTCTGGAAAGTGCTATAAAATATAGCTGAAGGGCCTAACTAGATGGTAGCAATTAGGACACACAGAGAGACATTTAAAATGAAGCATGTAATTTGTTCCACATTTTTAGAAACTCTTTGGTGATGTTTTCAGATCACAAATGTGGCATCTTTGTTCCTAGGATTTTTGAGGATTGAGTAACCAGTTTTCCAGCCTGGAAACTCAAGAAGAGATGTATTCAGAGATGGTAGGCTCAAAACCAGTGACTAGAAAAAGCTAATATTAGCAGTAAGTGGGAGGGCAGAATAGGGGTCAGGATATACCACCAGTAAAACAGCAAACAAATAGGGTGTTGAATGAAGGGTTTAGTCTGTTAATTTTTTTTTTTTTAAGATTTTATTTATTTGACACAGACACAGCAAGAGAGGGAACACAAGCAGAGGGAGTGGGAGAGGGCGAAGCAGGCCTCCCGCCGAGCAGGAAGCTGGATGTGGGGCTCAATCCTAGGACCCCGAGACCACGACCCGAGCTGAAGGCAGGCGCCCAACCAACTGAGCCACCCAGGTGCCCCTAGTCTGTTAATTATTTTAAGGTCAAATTTGTTCTGTCTTTCAAACAATGAAACATAGGAGTGTGAAGAGCACACCCCTCTACAGTTCTTCTCATAAGAGTAAAGGTTTAGTTAAGGATTTTTACAATATTGGGCACCTGGGTGGCTCAGTTGTTAAGCATCTGCCTTTGGCTAAGGTTATGATCCCAGTGTCCTAGGATCAAGCCCCGCATCGGGCTCCCTGCTCAGTGGGAAGCCTGCTTCTCCCTCACCCACTCCTCTTGCTTGTGTTCCCTCTCTTGCTGTGTCTCTCCCTGTCAGATAAATATAATTTTTTTAAGAAAAGAATATTTATGGGGCGCCTGGGTGGCTCAGTGGGTTAAGCCTCTGCCTTCGGTTCAGGTCATGATCTCAGGGTCCTGGGATGGAGCCCCGCATCGGGCTCTCTGCTCGTCGGGGAGCCTGCTTCCTCCTCTCTCTCTTTCTGCCTGCCTCTCTGCCTACTTGTGATCTCTGTCTGTCAAATAAATAAATTCTTTAAAAAATTAAAAAAATATTTACAATATTGGGGGGGAGCTGTGGCTCAGTCATTTGGGCATCTGCCTTCGGCTTGAGTCATGGTCTCAGGATCTCCCTCTCTCCCTGCCCCCACTCCTTTTCTCTCTCTCTCTCTCTCTCTCAAATTGGTCAATAAAATATTTACAATATGGGGTTGGGCACGTGGGTGGCTCAGTCATTAAGCATCTTTCTTCAGCTCAGGTCATGATCCCAGGATCAAGCCCGGCATCCGGCTCCCTGCTCAGCAGGGAGTCTGCTTCTTGCTCTCCCTCTGCTACACTCTATCTCTCTCTCTCTGTCAAATAAACAAAATCTTTGGGGGGGCAAAAAAGAACATTTACAATATAATTAGCAGTTTTAATTGTCAGCAAGCAAGGGAGTGTGTGCTTTTGGGCATAAACAGTTAGCACACCATATTCTATAATATCTGAAATTAGGCGCCTTTTTTTTTTAAGATTTTATTATTTATTAGAGAGAGAGAGCATGGAAATGGGGAGGGTCAAGGGGAGAAGCAGACTCCCCATTAGCAGGGAGCCTTATGCAGGACTCGATCCGGGGACTCCAGTGTCATGACCCGAGCCGAAGGCAGTCGCCCAACCAATTGAGCCACCTAGGTGCCCCAAAATTAGGCTTTTTAATAAGCAGAAGCCTTCAGTTTGAAATTCTGAACTCTTATGAAGTCTGTCAGAATCAAAGTGACTTTCCGTCACCTGTATACTTCACAGCTGGACTTAGTCTAAACAGTTATTTTTAAAAACTGTTAAAGGTATGGGTTTGTACGATGTGTTTGAATAGTAGATCTTTTTTTTGTTTTAAATATTCTGTTTTGTTTTGTTTTGTTTTAAAGATTTTATTTACTTATTTATTTGACAGACAGAGATCACAAGTAGGCAGAGACGCAGGCAGAGAGAGAGAGGAGGAAGCAGGCTCCCTGAGGAGCAGAGAGCCCGATGCAGGGCCCGATCCCAGGACCCCGGGACCACGACCTGAGCCGAAGGCAGAGGCCTCAACCCACTGAGGGTTGAATATTCTGGCGCCCCAAATATCGTGTTTTTAAGTAATCCCCACACTCAACATGGGTCTCGTACTCATATCCCTGAAATCAAGAATCACATGCTCTACCAACTGAGCCAGCCAGGTGTCCCTGAAGTAATATATCTTTATACCTTAAACCAGTGGCTTTCATACTTTGAAAGCCACTGATTTAAGATATAAAGAGGTATTACTTTATATTACTTTATATCAGCATAACCTAGTAACTTGCTAGAAATGCAGATTCCTAACACAAATCCCAGACTGGGATTGGGGCCCAGTAATCTAGTTGAACAAGCCCTCTAGGTGATTTTGATGCATACTGAAGTTTGAGAACCCTTACCTTAAAATTACAGAAGGTAGAGGGGTGCCTGTGGCTCTCAGTTGGTTAGGTGTCCAGCTCTAATTAACAGCTCAGGTCATGATCTCTTGGTTGTGAGATCAAGCTCCGCCTTGAACTCCCTGATTAGCCAGGAGTCTGCTTGAGATTCTTTCCTTTTCCCTATGCCCCTCATCCCCCTGCCCCATGCTAGGGCACATGCATGGTATCTGTCTCTCTCTCTTAAATAAAATCTTTTTAAAAATTAGAGGAGATAGAAACACAGTGTGGGGATAGTATATAAGGAGAATGTTCTGTATTATTTAGACTGTCCCAATGACTTAAAGGAGTATAAATTTAGTTTTTTGACTCTTTTCAGTGGACCATATAACATTTTAGTTGCTGTTCATTGCCTGTGCACACTGCCCCATCTCTGTTAGTACTCCTGTTGTAGCACTTAAGTGTACTTCGCTTTCATCTTCATAGACTGGGAATGTCAGTTTATAAACACAGTGAAGATGGGGATTATATCTGACTTGTTCTGCCGTATGTCCTGTATTGATAGGCTAGATGTCTGGCCCTTTGTAAGTCTCCCCTAGTGGTTAATGATCATACCTGTATCTCCCCCGTCATCTGCCTCTCCATAGGAAGCACTCAAATGCTTACAATAAATGAATGAATGAGTGAAATTCCCTAATTATGGGAAATCTTTCTGTATACAAAGGTTATATCTGATGAAACTATTTTAATCTGTGACTTAAAAATACCTCAGTGCATGTTTTCCTTTAGGACATTGACTAAACTTGGGCTAGATAATGTTGACGCTTAAGCACTTTCTAGGAAATGGGCTTTAGTTAGTATGTGTACATATGTTATTTTATTCAGTCTTTATAGCAGCCTCACAAGGTAGATACTGCTTTCATTTTACAGATGAAGAAGCCTAAAATTAGAGCAATTAAATAACTTTTCAAAGTTGACACAACTAGTGAGTAGCCAACAAAGAACCACATCTTTCAAAGCTCTTAAGGACTATCATCCAAAGCACTACTGTCACAATGGTATTTTGATGGGACTGTTCATTGTATATTAAAATTACTAATCTTTGTTTCTTCATAAAGATACAATATTGTGCCTTTTTTTGTTTGATGCAGACCTTACTTTTATTTATTTTTTTAAAGGTTTTATTTATTTATTTGACAGATAGAGATCACAAGTAGGCAGAGATGCAGGCAGTGAGAGAGGAGGAAGCAGGCTCTCTGTGGAGCAGAGAGCCTGATGCGGGGCTCGATCCCAGGACCCTAGGACCATGACCTGAGCCAAAAGCAGAGGCTTTAACCCACTGAGCTACCCAGGCGCCCCTGATGCAGACCTTATTTTTAGTTCATTCATCCCCTTTTCCCCGTCTCTTGGCATTGTTTTTGTTAAATTCACTTATTCTTTTCTTTATTTTTAATATTTTATTTATTTATTTGACAGAGATCACAAGTAGGCAAAGAGAAAGGGGGAATCAGGCTCCCTGCTGAGCAGAGAGCCCCATGCGGGACTCCATCCCAGGATGCTGGGATCATGACCCGAGCCAAGGCAGAGGCTTTAACCCACTGAGCCACCTAGGCACCCCTAAATTCACTTATTCTTGAAAAACATTTGAATGGCTCTGATGTAGAGGCTTCAGGTAGGAGTGGAAGAGCAAACTGCGTTCCTGAGAAGCAGCCTTTGTGTTTCCTAGTCAACTCCATATGTCTGATCTATTCGGGCTTACACTCTCTTACTACTTTATGCAGACTCAGAAATTTGCGTCTAGTTACCAGACAAACTAGTTCATTGTGTTTGTCTTATTCAGAAATTGAGAAGATTCAGAAAGGAGATTCAAAAAAGGATGATGAGGAGAATTACCTGGATTTATTTTCTCATAAGAACATGAAGCTGAAGGAGCGGGTACTGATACCCGTCAAGCAGTATCCCAAGGTAAGTCATAATGTGCCTCGCTCACTTTGTTGTCTCTGTAGGTGTGAGAGCCATGGGCTGAAATAAAGACTTCTGGAAATTCTGAAGCATCAGTTCCTTGAGCCTGTGAGGCTTCCCTCCCATAGTTGGAGTACTTGTTTCTGGCAGTTAAAACATCTATTTCCATAACTAACAGCGTACCTATTGCTAGGAAGGAAATAAAATCAACTTTTTATTACCAAAAAGAGTTTCTTTCTTAAGTGTTTGTTCAGGCTCCAAGTTCACACACAAACACAAAAATTGAAGAGTTGCTCTCTGTCAAAAGATTGATATGGGGGGATGAAGATGGACACAAAATCTAAATACAGGAAATGTGATACAAATCCTTGACTAGAAGAAGTTAGTTTTATTTCTTATTCCGTGTTTTAATTTTTTTTTTAAGATCTTATTTATTTATTTGACAGACAGAGATTACAAGTAGGCAGAGAAACAGTCAGAGAGAGGAGGAAGCAGGCTCCCTGCTGAGCAGAGAGCCCGATGTGGGGCTCGATCCCAGGACCCTGGGATCATGACCTGAGCCGAAAGCAGAGGCTTTAACCCACTGAGCCACCCAGGCACCACCTTCCGTGTTTTAATTTTAAATAAATGCCTTCTTGTTTTTCTCCTCCTCTTCTCCTTTTTTTAAAGAAGAGAAATTAGTTCTATTTAATTCACCAAACATGTACTACAAAAGAATGCCATATGTCTTTTCTGAGGTCATTGCCTTAAAAATGTTTATGTGTGTTGAAGTACTAAGAGTTGTAGTGTGATAGTTTGAAAAGAGCACCAGACTACATCAGGAAACCCAAGTTCAAGTCTAGGAACTGCTGTTGTCTAGTTGTACAAGCTTAGACTGTTCACTTCTTTTCAGTCTATCCTCAGCATATTCTTCAGTAAAATGGAGATGGTAACAGGACCCCTATTTTATAGGGTTGTTGAAGATCAAATGAGGTAATACATGTGGAAATGTTTTACATAAATGTGTATAAGAAATCCATTTTTATTTTCCGTCAGTTCAATTTTGTGGGGAAGATCCTTGGGCCACAAGGGAATACAATCAAAAGACTGCAAGAAGAGACTGGTGCAAAGATCTCTGTGCTGGGCAAGGGCTCAATGAGAGACAAAGCCAAGGTAAGCTCATACCAGTGAGGCAAGAAGACAGTGCCTTCTGGAAGCCAGTGCTTATAAATGTATAGAATGTGAATCTCTTCAGTTTGTGTATGAGAGATTGTAGACCAGGTTAACTTACTTGCTTGGCAACCCTGGAAGAGCCTAGATGTGCCCTGGTGATTGTTTCTTTCCTGACATTTGACTGTAAGTAATGGAAGCAAGTAGCAACTTTCACTTTTGTAAGCTTATCTGTGAAAACTTGGAAGGGGAGCTGGATATACTAAAACTTATCCAGACTAAAAACACTAAAATGTGAATAGTGTATTCCCTTGCCAGTAACATAGAAAAGTGAGAGCAATAATGTTGTGAGTGCAGGTGAGTCTGAGGATTATTTGTCTGAGTTTTTTAATAGCCAGCTGGAATGTGAAAGAACACTAAAAGAAGGTATTTCAGAAGGAACCATGAGTAATCCTGACAACAGAACCTCAAGCTGCTTTTTTTTCCATGTCATAGCCCCATGGGCTTTGTATTCTTCAGAAGTATCAAAAAAAATTCCTATCCAAATAGATTAGTCTTAGCCTTCTAGGGTCAGCTTTTTAGATGTGGCAGATATAGCCTAAAAACTTAGAACACTGTTTTCTCAGAGCCCCTTCTTTTGTACACTCACATTTCTCACTAGATGGATGCACTTAGGGCTGAAGTATATTATTTTACCTAATGAGATTTACATGGGATTTTCTTCACTCTATCCTGACTTTTTTCCTCCCCTAGAACTCCCCAGACCATATAAGCAAATAAGAAGAGCTGGTGCTAGGACACCTGGCCGGCTCAGTCAGGAGAGCATGTGGCTCTTGATCTCGGGGTCGTGAGTTTAAGCCCCACAGTGGGGGTAGAGGTCACTTAATAAGTTAAAAAGTGGGGTGCCTGGGTGGCTCAGATGGTTAAGCATCTGCCTTCAGCTCAGGTCATGATCTCCAGTTCTTGGGATGGAGTCCCACGTCAGGCACCCAGCTCAGCAGGGAGTCTGCTTCTCCCTCTACCTCTCCCCTGCTTGTGCTCTCTCTGTCTTTCTCTCAAATTAATAAATAAAATCGTTTTTAAAAAAATAATTAACTAATTAATTTTAAAAGTTTAGGGGTACCTGGGTGGCTCAGTCAGTTAAGCATCGAACTCTGGGTTTCTGTTTAGATCATGATCTCAGGGTTTGTGAGGTCAAGCCTGCTTTGGGCTCCGCACTATGCATGGAGCCTGTTAAGATTCTCTCTCCCCTTCCCATTGCTCCCCATAAATAAATAAGCTTGCTTGCTTGCTTGCTTGCTTGCTTATTTATTTATTTATTTAAGGTAAAAAAAGAAGATGAAGAAAAGCTGGTACTTAACAGCACTAGCTGGGATTGAAAAGCAAATGCTTGGCAATGAGTGAATGCATGCATGCTTGGCAAACAGCTGATATCTGAATGAAGACTGGAATTACGTTTCTCTCTTTTATACCTTCTAATAAGAGCTGCAGTGAATACATCAGGAAATCAAGACAGTGGTTAACTTTTAGTAGCAGACTGATTACAGGTTTAGCAGGTTGTGTGAATTACTATTCTCTAGACCTTGTTTTGCTTTCTTCTTACACTTTACTGTTTTTCTGAGATGTTTAGGTTATTTCTTGGTGTCTCTTTACGCTGGACGTAACAGTGTCATTTTCTTCCATTCCATGTGATATGATGTCTTTCTGTGTTTTTCCATAGGAGGAAGAGCTGCGCAAAGGTGGAGACCCCAAATACGCCCACTTGAATATGGATCTGCATGTCTTCATTGAAGTCTTTGGACCCCCGTGTGAAGCTTATGCTCTCATGGCCCATGCTATGGAGGAAGTCAAGAAGTTCCTAGTACCAGTAAGGAAATCCACATCCTGTATCACTGAGCAAGAGAGAACTGGGATCTTGTGCTGTTGCTAATGAGGCAGGGGTTCTGAATCACAATCTCTGCGTAGCCTGAGATTGCATACCAAATTCCTTATTTACGTTCATTTTTCTGAGGTAGTGTGTTACTTTTACCTAGTCCTCAAAGCACTGTACCCAAAGCCACTCTACCCCTCCTTATCTAATGTGTTTTTAGTTATATACCGGGATCTGTTGTTAGTATCTTAGGACCACAGTGTGTCTGGCATCTGAACGTCTGGTTAAGAAAGATTTAACAGAGTCTTGACTGAGCTAAGTGTGTTGGTACTAGTGTGGAACTAGGAAGTTATGATAGGAAAATGGCTAAGATGGTTGTAAACCCCCTGCACTCGAGGGTTTATGTTCTAGACTCTGAAGAGTGTAGAAGATAGCAGCAAGCGGCTTCTAGCTTCCAATCTTAATAGATGAAATTTTGACTAGGGGTATTCAGAGCTTTCTCTCCTGAAGGAATTTCTTACATAGGGTTTGATTTGAAAGAGGTGTGATTGTTATAGGCTTGACTGTTGATGATATTAAACAAATAGGTGTGCAGTTTCTTTCAGAGTATAACGGAGGCCCACGAAGAGTTGGGACAGCCCAGGTTACCTTAAGTCTTGCTTATTACCACCTGGTCAGAAGGTCCATTCTTTGAATAAGTAGAAAATGGTGTGATTTTTGCTCAGCAAGACTTACTGGTTGCCAGAGTTCGCATACTACAGTTGAATATTTAATAACCAGGCATGAATCTGGAACCTTGGGAAGCATGGGAAATACTCTTCACGAGAGTCGAGAAAGCTTCCTGTTTTCATCACTAAAACTAAGAGGAGGTGAGATACAGTTGTTGGCTTTCTTGTGTATGCAGAATGAGGAGTTGGAACTAAATGTGGTTGTCAGAGGATGTGAGAATCGGTAGAGCAAAAATTTATAGGCAGTGTGTACCTATAATGCTGAGCTCTAAGAATTCCAACACTGTCTCAGATGTCTCAGCAGCTGCTTTGCTTCCAAGTACCTCGTCTTCGTTAGAATGTTCAAACATGGAACAGCCAATTTAAAATCTCCTAGAGAAGACCTCAGAGCTGGTAAAATTTCCCTTGAGGGAGTTCTTTTTGCTCTTTTTGAGGTGTTCTCTTGAAGCACCCTGAGCCTCCCAGTGTCTGAAGGGCCGTATGGGAACACATATCTCCTCTTTATCCTTAGTCTCAGCTTATTTCTCAAAAGGAATAGCTTTACAAGGCTTTCATATAAGTGGATCTTCGAAAAATATGTCTGCCAGGCGTATCTGGGTGTCTTTGGTATTGGTGTAGCATTTGGTAGAATCCAGGCAAATGGGCCGTCACTGGTCACTTGATTCTCCAGGGTGTGTCTCAAGCAGCAGTAATGTGCAAGGTAGGAGGAGGTGAAGAGTTGGAGAAGGGGGCATCTCTGTGGTGACTAGAATCTTTTATTCTTGAAGCTCTGTCCACCTGGGATATATAAAAAGCATGGAGTATTAAAACTGAATGGCTCTCATCAGGAAATATGTGAAAAGATTTGCAAATGGCATTTGACTCAATTCTTCCCTCTTGTGAAGAAAAAGAAAGTGAGCCTATTTTTGCATCCATGACCAGAGCCTCCGTTTTCCCCTTAGAACCATTAACTGTACCAGAGAGGCTTCCTGGTACAGTAGGAAGAGCACTGGACTGGGACCTTTATCTGCGTCATCTTGGACAAGTTATTATTTCACTTTTCTGAGCCTCAGGTTCCTTGTTCATCCCAAACATTTGTTAAGTATCTGGTAGGTGCCTAATACTCTGCTTGGGTCTGAAGTTACAAAAATGGCTCCTTTCTCACAATCTAGTGAGAAAGACAATTCTAGAATGACGTGGTAAGTGCTTGGGTCAAGAAAATTACACGGTGCTGTGGAAAAAGAGGAGGGAGTGGGGGTGGCATCAAAGAAAGGTTTTCAAAAGAAGAATATTTTAGATTAAGTCTTCTAAGAGTGCATTAGTCTCTCAGGTAGACAAAAAAGGCAGTGTAGTCAGATGATGCAAAGCCTAGATTTTGGAGACAGGTAATTCTGAATTCACATCAAGTCTGCTACTTACTAGCTGTCTGTTCTTAGGCTGGTGGCTTTTTATGCCCTGATTCCGTTTCCCAGCTGTAAAATGGGACAACCTGCTTACTTACTTCAGGGTAACCTTGAAGATTAAACTGCAAAACCTATAGCAAGCTTATTATAAGGTACCCAGTGCGTAGAGCTTAATTAACGGTAGCAGCTTTTACTGTTCTAGGAAAAGGAAGCTATTTGCAAGAATGGGTGTCTAAGTATGCTAGGTTCTGAACTGCAGGTGGTTCTGCATGGCTTGAAAGGAGTTTATCCGTGGAGAGTGGATGGAAGTGATCTGGAGAGCCAGGTAGGGACTAATTATGAAAAGCTTCAGCCGAATAATGAGGGGTCTGCCATCAGGACTTTCCTCGAAGAGGTGACAGGTAGGGTGCCATTTGACTTCAGAAAATGCATGACCTGAGACTTCATCTGGGCATTCAGAACTGGTCTTAGTATCCAAGGCTTATGTGGGCTGGACAGCTTCTCAACAGAAGGTAGAGATGTGGCCCAGTAATCCTTTTATCTTTCATTTGCAGGATATGATGGATGATATCTGCCAGGAGCAATTTCTAGAGCTTTCCTACTTGAATGGAGTACCGGAGCCCTCTCGCGGACGTGGGGTGCCAGTGAGAGGCCGAGGAGCTGCACCTCCTCCTCCACCTGTTCCCAGGTAAAAAAATGATGGAAACAACTAGAAACAGGATGTAAGTTTGGCCGGTACCATTTCTCCCTTAGTGGTGCTCTTTCTTCCGTCTTAGAAGGGGGCCTCAGGATTTGTACCAGCAAGAGTGGAATTAAGTAGATCTTAGGTCCTTTGGCCATAGCCAAGTGCAGCAGTCTTGTTGAAACTTTTGGTCTTTTAATTTTGGATAGTTCTAGCAGTTTAGAATGGTCTCTGGCTTTAGAAGTAAGAAGTTTACCTTTTGTGACTGACCTTTATGGAGTGTTCAGACTTTCCAAAGTAGTACACTGATGAAACATTTACAGGTCCACTTGGGAACCTGGGCAGTCTCCAGTATGGGTCCTTTACCCACCTCTTTGGGTTTTTGGGGGATTTTGTTTGTTTGTTCATTTGTTTTTTCCTCTGTGTTTTAATAATGGTCTGCTTAAGGCATTGTGGGATCTGTCTGGCTCCAGAATTTGCAAAGAAATCTGAACATGAAAGTATTATCTATGTATTAAAATCTCCATTTAAAATACGTTTTCTGGGGCACCTGGGTGGCTCAGTGGGTTAAAGCCTCTGCTTTCAGCTCAGGTCGTGATCTCAGGGTCCTGGGATCGAGCCCTGCATCGGGCTCTCTGCTTGGCGGGGAGCCTGCTTCCTCCTCTCTCTCTGCCTGCCTCTCTGCCTGCTTGTGATCTCTCTCTCTGTGTCAAATAAATAAATAAGATCTTTAAAAAAAAACCAACGTTTTCTTCTTGCAGGGGCCGTGGTGTTGGACCACCTCGTGGGGCTTTGGTACGTGGTACACCCGTGAGAGGAGCCATCACCAGAGGTGCCACGGTAACTCGAGGAGTGCCGCCCCCACCTACAGTGAGGGGTGCTCCAGCACCCAGAGCACGGACAGCAGGCATCCAGAGGATACCTTTGCCTCCACCCCCTGCACCAGAAACCTATGAAGAATATGTAAGAAGTTTGAGCAGTGTGCCATTTCCCAATAGCTAGAAGGCTGCCAAAGGAAGTTGAATGATAGGGCATTGTTGGCCCTTGGTGTAGGTGGCAGGGACTGCCTGTAAGATCTGTAGTCTGGTCTCTTCTTTTGCAGTGAATGTTAAACTATGAGAAGATTTTTCCATATTAAGCATAGTTTACTACATGTGAATAGATGAAGTAGGAAGTAGGCTGTGCCTTGACAAATAGACAGTGTTTTAATAAGGGGTCTTTTCACTAGTACTGCTGATAATGCTCAAGTTCAACACTTTTCCTTGTTTCCTGCCCACAATTTGGAGGGTGGATTGGTTTGGTTGATGGTTCAGTTTTGTTTCATTTTTTCTTAAAAAAAAAAAAAATTTCTCTGTCAACTCTTTACCAGCGGGTGTTAATTTTGGGGGAAAATTCTGCATTCTGTTAATCTAGAAGCCTACCATCCTCCCATGGGATGTAATTACCTTCCCCATTCTGTGTGATTTTGCCTTTCTTTTTCATTTTATTTGTCGTAGGGGTATGACGACACATATGCAGAACAGAGTTATGAAGGCTACGAAGGCTATTACAGCCAGAGCCAAGGGTAAGTCAGGCAAGAGAAGTACTGTTTCGTGTCCTGGGGTGGATGGAGGGAGTTGGAACAACAGAGAGATTTAGGTAGCACACATCTGCGGAGCAATGTGTCTCCCCTTTGGGGGGTATCTCCTTTCCTTTCCACATCTATAAGGCACACAGATCTGTAAGCTTAGGGAACTGTGAATCTGAATTTATTTATTTATTTATTTATTTATTTATTTATTTATTTATTTAAAGGTTTTATTTATTTGAGAGCGAGCAAGCATGAGGGGGGGAAGGTCAGAGGAGGTGACCCCCTGCTGAGCAGGGAGCCCAGTGCAGGACTCGATCCTATGACTCCAGGATCATGACCTGAGCTGAAAGCAGTCACTCAACCAACTGAGTCACCCAGGCACCCTGTGTATCTGAATTTATAGTATAGAATCTGGGAATAACATGAACATTTCCTGAGCTTTGACCACATGGAAATGAAGGGAAAATGCCTTTAAATTGTTTTGATGTATTATTGCCACATTAAAGGTGCATTAAAGTTTAAAAGGAAGCTAGAATCCTACTACCATAACTTAGGTTATTTTCTGCACTCTTAAATAACGTTTTTGTGTATATGTATTTTATCTGTGATTGATTAAAAAAGTATTTCATAATTGTACAGTGGGGACAGAATAGTATGTTTGTTTACTCTCTTCCAGAGAGCCCTATAAATTTGTGTGTGTGTGTGTGTGCACACTGTGATTAAGATGGTCAGTTTTGGATTGCGCTTTTTCACTTTAAATTATGTGGTATCCATTTTTCTTTGCAATGGTTGTAATTTTTGTTGTTGTTGTTGAAGTACACAGCACATACCTGTTTTGGAAATATTTTCTGGTTTGGAGATGGGGCAAAATGAGCATTTTCCTGCCCTACACATGTAGTAAAATGCCTGAAATGTGGGAGGAAGGGGAAATGGAAGTAGAGTTAGTCTGTAGCTCTCTAACACTCTTGTCTTTGGCTTCCAGGGACTCAGAATATTATGACTATGGACATGGGGAGGTTCAGGATTCTTACGAAGCTTATGGTATGTCTTTATTTCCATGGTGGGCAGAGTGTGCAAGTAAGTGTCTGCGGGAATGCTGGTGACTGGATTACTGAGGGGCTGCCAGTCACACACCGAAAGAGGAACCTTTAGAAAGCTGAGATGTTGATAGGACAGTAGCCATCCCATTCTTAGTGCAATTGTGTGGTGTCCCATAGAAAGAGGAGCTCTTAAGGTGAGATGGGGTTACCCTTAGAAGGCTAAGCAGATGTCTTAGACTAGGGCTCAGGTCCAGCTAGGCCTGGTTGGAGCAGCAGACTTTTAAGCTGATGTTGATCCTTTTCTCCTTTAGACCGGGGAGATTGCCAGGCCTAGGTCATGTTGCAGGGCCCTTGCTGCTGGTGCCTAGGCCACACGGTAGATACTGAGAACTACATCATATCCAATTTTATTTTCCAGCCCCATTACATTTTTTTTTCTTTAAGATTCTATTTATTTATTTTGAGGAGAGAGAGTAAGAGAGCACAAGCAGGGGGAGCAACAGAGGGAGAGGGAGAAGCAGACTTCTCACTGAGCAGGGATCCCAATGCAGGGCTTGATCCCAGAGCCCCAGGATCATGACCTGAGCTGAAGGCAGATGCTTAACCGACTGAGCCACCCATGCACCCCACCCCACTTCATTCTGAGGAAGAATTTTGGATCTCAGTGAAAAGAATCTCAGTGTAGAGGAAGTGTTAGCGGAAAGGAAACCAACCAGATGGCAGGTAGCTAGGCAAAAGCAGGTTGGGTGCAAGCATCCTGCCTGTCATCTCAGATCTCGGGCAGTAGGAGCTGGGGCCACTTCAGGGCAGTACTGGCACCAAGCTCCTTCCTAGCTTGGAGACATCTCAGCTCAGTACTTGATCCCAAGAGAGCTATAGAGGCTGGAATGGCAGCAGGACCGAACTGTCTGTTTAGTTGAAAACACATTGCTCAAGAGTGTCCTCGAGTGCCAATTATGGCCCCATGTTAATGGGCCCCAAAGGCAGTTCCGTGTGGGTGCAGAGAGAGCCGCTTTTTAAATGCAAGGTATTTTCAGCATACCTGAGGGAATTCCAGAGTCCTTGGCCAGGGGCTCAGCAATTGACAGTTCATCTTAAGACACTAGTTAACAGTCTCCCCTTACCCCTAGAGCTCCCGCAGACAAGCTGAGCCTAACTTGTCAGCGTAGTCTGTAGTAGCCAGTCAGCTGCTTGCCTAGGGAAACCGTTTTACCAGTTCTAGCTAAATGGTGCTGGACAGTTGCCATCAGTAACACTGCTCCACTCTCGTAGGCCAGTATTTAGAAGGGCAGTGGGATTGCCCCAGAGTATTTCCCTCCCGTCGGTGAGGCAGCACAATGCTGCCTCTGTGTGTGTTTGACTGAATTCCATTTCTGTTTTGCCTGAGAAGAGACTGCACTGAAAGAGGCAAGCTGCCTCTTCTGCTCCTGGTGTGATGTTGCCACAGTTAATCTGTTATGATTTTGGCCTTTATAAACAGAATTACAAAAATAAACTGTCTTGTTAGTACCAGAAGCCATTTGGAAAGTAATGGCTGTACCTGTTATACTAAGGGTAAAAATAGGCTTAGATAGGGTCTCTGGGACTTGAGGTCCATGTAGAGGTTTTAGACTTACAGTGATAGAGGCTCAGATTGAATGCAGGCAGCTGGGGAAACGCGTTGGGGATGAACTGGCATGGGTAGCCTGTGGGGGCGAGTGGGAAAACGAGCTCATACGTGCAGCAACTTTTCATAAGAGGTCAGCTGTAGAAGTAAATGATCATCTCTTTCAGGCTTTTCCCTGTAACACAAGAAAGTCATTTGGGGCTGTCAACCATGTTGTCTGGCTTCTCTGGACTATTGCATGAGAAAGGAAACAGTGAATTCTCCGTATCAGTGCTATAAACACGTACTGCTTCCCTACGCCAGAGCAGTGGAGCAGCTCTGCTGATGGGGAGGCCTCATGAAATGCGGCCCTTGCTTACTTCTCCCAGGGAGGACACTTTTCGACAGGGAAACCTGATTTGCTGTTGGAAAGGGAGCTACCTGCTCCCAGTCTGACTTCCTGAAGGTTCCACAGGCTTTCTTTGCCCAGTTGAGGCTTTCTTTGCCCAATTCCATTGGGAACAGGAAAAAGGGCGTTGCAGACCTACTGAGATTCATTTCCTCACTGTCTCAAGCAAGGTGTTGGGTTTATCCAGATTTGGGGGCTGGAGGAGAGATCATATGGCCTGTGGAGAACATATTTGCTAAAGATGACTCCAGGCCTTTTCTGAGCCGTTTCCTTCTGTCTGTCTGCTCAGAGTTGCCCTACAGCTGGGAAATGAAGCTGTTCAGGAGAGCCAAGTAGAGCAAAAAGCAAGGACCACTGGGACGTGGCAAGACACTGGAAGTAAAGCGGTGTCTTTGGTGATCTTTACCAGATGACCTATTCTTGCTCCTCCCATAATGCCCATGGCGTGTGGTTTATAAACTGTTCTTGCTTTCCCCGCAGGCCAAGACGACTGGAATGGGACCAGGCCGTCGCTGAAGGCCCCTCCAGCTAGGCCGGTGAAGGGAGCATACAGAGAGCACCCATATGGACGTTATTAAAAACAAACATGAGGGGAAAATATCAGTTATGAGCAAAGTTGTTACTGATTTCTTGTATCTCCCAGGATTCCTGTTGCTTTACCCACAACAGACAAGTAATTGTCTAAGTGTTTTTCTTCGTGGTCCCCTTCTTCTCCCCACCTTACTCATTCTTAACTCTGCATTCTGGCTTCTGTATGTAGTATTTTAAAATGAGTTAAAATAGATTTAGGAATATCGAATTAATTTTTTAAGTGTGTAGATGCTTTTTTCTTTGTTGTTTAAATATAAACAGAAATGTACCTTTTATAATAAAAAAAAAGTTGAGTAAAAAAAAAAAACCACAAACCTGTTAGTTTCAAAAGTGACATTGCTTGCTTAAAGGTTCTGAAGTTTAAGACTTGTTAACTTTCTCTTAGTTTTGATTTGAGGCATCCCGTAAAGTTGTAGTTGCAGAATCCCAAACTAGGCTACATTTCAAAATTCAGGGCTGTTTAAGATTTAAAATCACAACGTTAACGGCAGTAGGTGCCACCATGTAAAAGTGAGCTCAGACGTCTCTAAAAATGTTTCCTTTAAAAGCACATGGCGGTTGAATCTTAAGGTTAAATTTTAATATGAAAGATCCTCATGAATTAAATAGTTGATGCAATTTTTAACGTTAATTGATTTAAAACAACAACAACAACAACAAAATTAGGTTTGTAAAACTGAGTTTTTCATTATGTGGGTTTTGAAATCTAGCCCCAGACATACAGTGTTGAGAGATACTTAGTGGGGAGCAGGTTTTGAAGAGGTGGATTTGGGGAGAGGGGCTAGCCACCTGGATTGAATTTGATGCAGAGCTTTTTAGCCATGAAAAATCTTTCAGTGATAGCACTAATAATTTAAAATTTCAGTATTTAAAAAGACAAAGTGTTTTGTCCATCTGAGGTTCTGCACTCCATGAAAAGCTCACTTGGACACTGGAACCAAAAGCTGATGATTTTTTTAAGTGACGGTTGTCAATATTGAACTGTTTCCAAGGTAGTTAGTCAAGTATGTCTCAACACTAGCATGATATAAAAAGGGACACTGCAGCTGAATGAAAAAGGAATCAAAATCCACTTTGTACATAAGTTAAAGTCCTAATTGGATTTGTACCGTCCTCCCATTTTGTTCTTGGAAGATTAAATGCTACATGTGTAAGTCTGCCTAAATAGGTAGCTTAAACTTATGTCAAAATGTCTGCAGCAGTTTGTCAATAAAGTTTAGTCCTTTTTTAATCAAAGTAAATGTGATGAATTGTCATTTTTTTGGGTGGACAATAAAATAGTTTTCTCTTTCAAATAAACTTAAATTAACTCTAAAGTTAATGGGCTTGTTAAAAGTTGGAGATATTCTTAAAAGTGGTGGGGGGGATTTTATTTTAAGTTTACCAAAAAAAAAGTTTATCGAGTTGTTAAGTTTTAGTTTAAAATAATCAAAGCTTTTTCACCCCCTGGAAGTTGTTTTGACAGCAGTTTTATCCCATCCTATCACAAGCTCTAATTTCTGGAGAGAAAAACCCAACTGAGCCGAAACTTGGATTGGTTTCCATACATAGGCCTCAGTGTTTAAAGTGCCAGCCACCCCGTCTGCACCTCTGTAGAGCCCCTAGGTGGCCCTAAGCATGACACCAAATAATGTCCGTGAGCTTGGAAAGGGATAGCACCTGCCTTTGGATACGGCAATTCAGCAAACCCTGGGTGCCCTTATGGGTTTCCCTTCCGATCCCAGAAATGCTGTTAACAAATCAGCTGGGCTGGGGCAGGATCTGGCATGATCGGCTGGCTCTGAACTCTCCCTCCTGAGAGACCAAGAGAGGAAATGATGGAATTGGTTGGACCTGTTTCCACTCCTCTGTTCATTCTCAGGGTTCTCGTGCCTTCCCTAAAGGAGCCACCTAAACTGCTCGGGGGTGAAAAATCCTCTTGTATGGAAGTGCCAAGCTGCCTGCAGCAGTGCATGATGGACATTTTTTTTCTTTTTTAAAACACACCAACAAAAAAATGTATTTGTAGATTGTGATAAAGTGTAAATAACTGAATTTTCAACCATGGTTTGAAGTCAGCTTTCAGGGCATTATGTCTTGTTTTGATGAAAAGAGATCACTCTATACCCCCCTTTTTAAAGGAAAATTATCGCAAGAGAATCAGGATGTGTAAAGCTAACATGCATCGCAAAAAACCAAAGGTAACCTAAATGTCTGATTTTAATAGCACATATTTCTCTTTTACATAAACTGTGACAGCAACTTGCATAAACAATTCTTTAGCTGTTAATTTTAATGTTAAAACTTTGCAAAACTTGTTTAATAAAAATAGCTGTAAAAAGAAAAACCATATGCTGCCGCATAAATTAGCCATAACTCTTAATAATCCTGCCCATCACAAGTGAACTGTAATGTAACCTGGGCACAAAGTCTGACATCTTAAATGACACATTGTAAAATTTCAATGACTGTAGATTAGACCTGCTGCTCCCCAAAGTCAAGCTTTCTGCTCAGCTATTTAAAAATGTACAAGGATGAGCCCTATAGGTCCCCATATTGATATTCACAATGAAATGTTACTTAAAATTTCTTTAAAGTTGCATGTTTCTCTCCTGTAATGTGTAAACTGCATGCAGGATCTCTCTCTTTTATTTTGTATGTCTTTAGAACTTCCTCTTCAAAAGGCTGATCTCTTACTTCTCCGTTTTCAGGTGATTGAAAACTCCTGAGGCATTTCCTGGAGTAGAATGGGTAGTGAAGACCCATGTCAGGTACGTTAAGGTAGCTTTCTACTGAGGATGTGGGACTTTCATCCTAACTATGAAATAGTTTTCCCAGGAGGTGGCCTGGGACATGATCCGTGGGCAGGTCTTTCTTGCATGTGATCTGTACCATATTTACAACACGGTCGTGTTCATATGTTGGTTTACAATCCATATTGAATTTACTTGTGATGATTGTAGCGTCAACTTCCATCTATTGAATCCTACCCTATCCTGTCAATAACCTAATGGGACAGTGTTTCATTTGGCATTCACTGGTTGTAAGCAGCAAAGTGACCGGTTGATGTAAATAAAAAGGAATTTATTAGAACGATGTTAAGGACTTGCAGATTTAGCGTGAAGGCTGGAGAAATCTGACATGGGAACCAGATTGGCTGCAGAGAACGGGGACATCAGTGATAGACCACAGGAATGTTCTTGGAGCCAGGACTAGCTGTTTAGGTGTTGTTGCTAGAATGAGTGAGTTCTAGCTGTTCGCTTTCTTTTTCCCTTGAGATTCAAGTTCTAGGGAGGGAATGTCAGACTGTATTAGCTTAAGTCACATGTTCATACCTTACCAGGATGTGGTAAGAAAAAACTAATTCCTCCAAAGGAAGTCAGGGTGTTATTAGGAAAAGGGAATGGATACTGGGCAGACAAACAACAATTGTCCAGTATTATGTATGTATGACAGAAGTGACTGAGACTTAATGAGGTTAAATAACTTCCTGGGGTCACATAATTAGTATGGTTGGCTAGTAACCAAGCCCAAGTTTGTTGTCAGAACCTAACACTTATACTCTCCACATTATATCGCTTTTAATCTAAGGAAGGGGTATTTCTCACCCTGAGGAGACACTCTGAAAGGGATAGTGTGGCATAGTAGAGAGGGCATGAGACCTAACAGAGTTGAATCGACTTTTCTTTGTTTAGTGACCTAAAACCTCTTATTTCCACGTCTAGGAAGGAAGATAGTGATAATGTACACCTTACAGTGGTCAGCAGACTGAATTGAGTTTTACTATATATAAGGCCCACCAATTTGGTGTTCTATAAGTAGTAAATATTAGTGTTCCTTCTCTAAGAAAGGTTAGCCCCCTGATTGGGGTAGGTGGGGGCTGCTGATTGAAGCCATCCAGGAACTGGCTGGATGATCTTTCCCTCTGCCCCTGGGTGAGTTGTTAGGGTTAGGAGAACACCAAAGGCAAAAGACCAAACTAGGGAGAGGTCAAAGGCATAGGCAGCCTTTATCGGTAAAATTTCCCTTCTTGAAGATGGTGTCTTCCCAACCTGCCTCTCCCAGGAGCCTCTCAGATGTGGAGACTTTAAAGAGGACCATGTGTATTGAGCACGGAAGTCCTAGGTTTGATATGGATTACATGAATGGCAAAGCAATTTTAGAGGAAAGTCCCTGAATGCAGAGAATTAGTTCCAACTCTTCTAGGGTAGTCTGAAGAGCAGAATTTGGGGGATGCTTCTTTCTTCACTCGGCTTGTAATTTGCGCTTGGGAAAACAGGTTTTATTGTTGGCAGACCCAGGTCTGCCAGTGGTCTGCCTTTTTTGAATGTGGAGCTTAGTTGGTCCCAGTATTTTCTATGGGTTTCTGTCACTACCGATGAATGTTTATTACAGAACTATAAGCTTTAGAGCCAGGCAAGACTGGGGACCTGTCCTGACTCTGCCTCATCCTAGCCTTGGTCTTTGTTTTGACAGAACCAAACCCTTAATCCCTCTCTGGGCTTCATTTCTTTATCATCAAATGAAGTTGATAATAGTAGCTAACATTACTGTGATACTATCCTAAGCAGCTAATAAGGACAATCTCATTTGGTCTTCTCTACCTTTCTCTCTTAATTAATACAAAATTCGTATAACTTAAAATTTACCTTTTTAACCATCTTAAAGTATACAGTTTGGTGACTTTTAGAATATTCACAGTGCTGAGCAACCAGCATCACTGTTTAATTCCAGAAAATTCCCACTACCCCAAAAAGAAATTCCATACCTGTTAGCAGTCACTCCCAATTCTCTTCTCTCCCCAGTCCCTGGCAACCACTAACCTACTTTCTGTTTCTATAGAGTTGTATAATATGTGCCTTTGTGATAGGCTTCTCTCACTTTGCATAAAGTTTTCAAGGACCATCCTTGTTGTGGCATGTATCAGTACTTGGCACTAGTGATAGGAAACGTATTACTTCCAAAAGCAACCCATCAACCCATCTCATTTAAGACAGCTCCAAGTATTAGAAGTTATCCCTCATTTTAAATGAGTCACTCCAGTAACTTGAAGTGGTTCTACCTTGGATCGTGTCAAGCATTTGAAGTCCAATTTCAGTCATGTTTCTTTTCCAGCTCCAGAAATTTTTTTGTTAGACTTGGTAGATCTGATTTTCCAGAAAAACTAGAAATTTGGATTTTACATGCCAGCGGTTGTTTAGTGTATGCTCTGATTAGTATTAGTCCCTGTAAAACCTCTGTGGCAAGCCAAATGCTGCCCGTAGGCAGCCTAATAGCCTGCAGCCTCTGGTTAGCTTCTATTACTACAGATTAAAAGACACATTAGGATTATTGAGATAAGGGGTGCCTGGGTGGCTCAGTGGGTTAAGCCTCTGCCTTCGGTTCAGGCCATGATCTCAGGGTCCTGGGATCGAGCCCCGCATCGGGCTCTCTGCTCAGAGGGGAGGCTGCTTCCCGGCTCTCTCTCTGCCTGCCTCTCTGCCTACTTGTGATCTCTGTCTGTCAAATAAATAAATAAAATCTTAAAAAAAAATTATTGAGATACAATCATAACCATACGATTCACCCATTTTAAAGTGTACAATTCAGGAGCGCCTGGGTGGATCAGTTGGTTAAGTGTCTGCCTTTGGCTCAGGTCATGATCCTGGGGTCTTTGGATTGAGTCCCACATTCTCAGGCCCCTCCTGAGCAGTGAGCCTGCTTCTCCTTCTTCTGTCCTCTCCCTTCACCCCTACCCCCGCCCCCTGCTTGTGCTTGCTTGCGCTCACGTGCTCTCTCCCTCTCAAATAAAATTAAAAAAATAAAGTGTACAATCCAGTGGCTTTTAATAGATATAAAATTATATCGTCATCACCACCATCTATTTGAGAACATGTTTCTCACCCCCAGAAAAGAATTCCCATGCACTTCAGCCATCTCCCCCGGTCCCCTTACCTTCTCCGGCCCTGGTCAGCCACTCTTCTACTTCCTACCTCTGTTGACTTGCCTGTTCTGGACATTTCATATAAATGGAATCATACAACCTATGGGATCTTTTTTTACTTTCTTCTGTTACTTAGCGTCATGTCTCCAAATTCCATCCATGTTGTAACATCCGTCAGTACCTCATTCGTTTTATTGTCAAATACCGTTTCATCGTATGCGTGTTTTCGGTCCACACACCCACTGATGGACATGGCTGGGTTGTTTCTGCTTTTTGGCTGTAATGAAAAATACTGTTAGGAGCATTTGTGTACAAGTTTTTTTGTGGACATAAG